ATTTCATTCATAGCACACTTAACTTATTATCTATCATTCTTAAGTTTCTAACAAAAAAGTACGTAGAGAAAAGGTCCGAGACTAGTATAAAACGACAATAGTTTCTTTTGATTTATCACCATGAGCGAGTCTTAAAATGAATATCGCATCCTTGTTAGTCTTGTTCACGGGGGTGGTGGTTTTAAGCACTCCCTCTTTCGTAGATTACTACAAATTGCCTAAGTATGAACCTAAGCCACCTTATATGAAGCCTCCTAAGGTAGAGAAGCCATTCCAAGGACATAAGCCACTAATCTACAAGCCTCCTATTATAGTGAAGCCGACACCTTATCACAAGCCATTACCTCCTTGTGGTCACTATCTAGGACACCCCGCAATTGAAAATGCTGAATATAACAAGCCAAACAATTGATTTAAACTTGATATGAATATGTAGGACTTTTAGTAATCGAAAATAAGTGTACTGTTGCTTGAAGCTCAACAAGCTTTGAGCTTGTATGTCTTTTTATATATATATATCGATCAATTACTCCAAGTGAGGAATGTTCTCATTGAAATGTCTCTTCTTTTATTGTAATTGATGAGCATATCCTAATTCAGTTCTATAATGCAAATCGGTTAATTTTATTCGCAGGAATATTTATGTATATTTGGTGAGTGAGCACAAGAGGGTTTTGAATGTTTGATTAATGTTTAAATGACCTCGAGTTCAAATATTAATCGTTTTTCACCTAGGTGAAATCAACATAATAAGTGGTAATCCTGTAAATATATATAAAAAATGGTAATCCTTCACTCATTATTATTAAAAAAGAAAATAAAAATAGAGGGTTTACCATTCCTTCACACTCATGTTACTATTTATTTATTTTTCATCTTTACTTTTACATTATTTTGATTTTGGACTTTTTTTTAGGTATTTAATATGATATTTTTGTGATTTTTTTATCTTTATTTAACCATTTGATATACAAGTTTTAACAAATATTACACTTTAGTTCCTAATTTTTTCTAAAAATTTTGTTCCAATTCTCAATTTTGTTTATAATGCAATTTGATCCTTTAATATAAATAAAAACAAAGAGACGGAAGAGAAAAACTATCGAAATTCATTTCGGCCAATTTAACAATGGACCTTGGCTTCGATTTGTTTATCTTAAAGATCATAGTTGTTTAGGGTAGTTTTAAAACATAAAATGATCAGAACAAGGAGATCAAGATTCCCAAATATTTTTGAGTTTTTAAATTTGATTTGAATTGTTTAAGTTTTTTTTGGTGCATTAAAATAAGTTTTAAGTTTTCCAACAAGTTTATTTTTAATTTTTTAACTAATTTCATTAATGTTGAAGTGTTTTTTAGAAACTTAATAATAATATTAGTTTCAAAAAGTCAAAACGTGGTAAATCCATTTTTTGGCAATTATAGTTTCGCAAAAATTTACAAATGGCTTTTTTGTTAAGGACTAGCCTGTGCGTGTCCAGTTCATACATGCATGGGCCTTGGTTATCCAAGCCCAAAAGTAGAGGCCTGACATGTGCAGGCCCAACTTTTTTATTATTATAATTTTTTTTTTGGGATTTTTCTTATTTTATTTTGTGGTTAAATTTTGAAAAAAATTGATAATTATTTTTTGAGGTTTTAGCAACCTAACGAGAGAGAAATATTAATGATGTGCTTTTATATTTTAAACTTAACACATGTTTCAAAACTATATTACTTTTTTTTATTTAAAATTTATCTCTTCAATTTTTTATTTTTTTTAATAGAAATTCTCATTCAATTAATTTTTTTATTTAATTTTATTTATTTACAAATATGAATTTTTTTTTTTTTGTATATTTGGATTTTGAGATATATTTTTTTTATTAACATGATTATTTTCTCTTATTAAAAAATATAGTTGATACGACGAATTCTTACGATTGTTAAATGTGATTATCATGATTCTAAATATATATGTTTGATCTAAATGCTAAAAGTATATGTCAAAAAAACATTTTTTGAGTTTTTGAAAAAAATAAATTTCAAAAAAAATTATTGATAATTAAAAATAAGAAGAGAAAAAAAAAAACCAGAGAGAAGTGATTGTTAAATAGAATCTATGTGTTTTATTTATTTCTTATTTTATAATCAAAATTTATCGAAATCAATTTTTTAGAGATTTTTATTAAAAATTAACTATGCATATATATATACACACAAAACAATGACTATTTACTAGTTTTTTAATGAATCAATTTTCCTATAAAAAATAATTAAAATTATGTTTAAAAAAACACGTGATGGTATCATACTTCTTGGAAAAAAAGTATGCTAATATTATTGATTATTTTATGATATATATATATATATATATATATATCCTAATGAAATAATTTTAAAAAATAAATTTTCATCAATATTCAATAAGGAAAAAGTTTATTTTAAATTTTTATGCAATATATTTTTACATTAATTGTTGCTTTATTTTTTTGATGCAATCTTATAAAAAAAATATTAAATTTTTTTACATTTTTTTGGATTTGCGATTAATCGAAACTATTTTTTTACATTATTATAAATTTTTATTTAAAAACTTATGCATAAAGAAAAATAATTTTTTTTTCAAGATTGAAATCTATTAAAAAAACATAAGAAAGAATCAATTAAGTGCAAAATTTTGATTAAAAAATTATAAACTTTGATGAAAAAAAATTACCTTTAATTTGGATATATTTTATTAGACTTGCAACGTGACGAGGACGAGCAAATTAAAATATTTTTTCATATAATCCTACATGCATGTTTTATCACATCCCGTGGTATTCACACACTGTTCACAATGTATTTTTGTAGTTTCAAGATTTTTAATGTCATTTCTAATAAAAGTTTTGACTTGTTTCACACTTCAGTTCTTAATGGTTTCAAAATTTTTATTTTAGTTTCTAACTTTATTTACATCACGATTTCATCCTTGGAAGCATAGAAGAAGAAGAAGAAAAGAAAAAAAAAAAAAAAAAAAGAGAGAGAACATAAAAGAAAGAAAGTTATGGCAAAAACCATTCCAGCCACAAAAGCCGCAGATATTGGCTTCAATATGTTCATCCTTGAATGTAGCATGTATAGTTCAAGAGAAAAGGCTGGCTTCGAAAATGATTCTCACCGTCAAGATCGTTGAGAATTTATAGATATCATTAGCTCATTAATTGAATTCAGCCAGAAATGTTGATTTTGTGCAACCGTTATGGTCCTACATATAATTAATTGTCAAGCCTGAAGAAAACTCCAGTGGCTCTTAGATTAGACGTACAAAATTTATCCTCTGCTGACCTGACGTCGGTATAACCCTCCCTCCAACAAATTAATTTGTCTGTTCGATCGAGCAAGCTTAATAACATTGGAGTTGCTTGCAGGTCCATTACTTGACATTGCAGTTTCTTGCATTAGCCCCCACAGTCGAGGTCCTACAGATAACTGTAACAAGCTCTCTCTCCTTTTGTTGCATCAACTATTTCCATCTGCTTTCTATACAAACTAAATTCAACAACTCTTATTATTGGCTGTTTTTTCAGTACTGTTTGATCAGATCGATACTAAAATGCATGATTTAATATTGACGCATGTATAGAACCTAAATTGTTTGGTTTAATGACACTAGATTTCTTTGTGATATCTTTTTTTGATAAATTAAGGCATATATTTGATTCTAATTTAGATATACAATCGGATGTACATATATATATATATATGCGATTTGATCCATCTATCCATCGTCAAGTCTATTTTTTTGTTTTTATTTTTATTTTTAAAAAGAAGAAGGGATAGGTGTCAGATTTCTATTAATTGATTCTAATTTTTTTAAATAACAATTAAAATTCAAAAGAAAAAAACTTGTGGACTTTTTTTTTACCAATCCCTTATTTTTTTACTGCTATAAGTTGTTTTTTATTTTATTTTTTAATTTTTTATTCACACTAAAAAAATTATTTTATATGTCAAAAAAATAAAAAATAAAAATTTGATTAAATCTTTATTTATTTTGGTTATAACAAATTGATTAGCTAATATCAGTCCTGGTGCAGGCATAACCTTGCTTGAAGGAGGGGCTTCCTTGATTGCATGTTTTGGTGGCAGCATCTATTTTGGGTTGCATGACGTGTGTGTGTAGGGGTAAACTCTACGTACTTAGGCTTCTAGTTAAGATTGTGCAATGCTACTCTTTAGTGATACAAAGATAATATATAACTAGTCATAATTAATATATATATATATATATATATTTTATAAATATCATATTTGAGCCGGTTTAGTTTTAGAAATAATATAGTGTTCGATCTATGATGCTAGTTTAGACTTAACTTTGATCGTAAAATTAAAAAAAAAAAAAAAAAAAAAAGAGTAACATTGTGCAATGATTGACTTTAGCGTAAGGCTGATGTTCGTTTTTACTCTTTCCCTTTGGTTTACAAATACTTGACTTGTGAACAACTTAATTATGGTTCTATGCGAGGACACTTTGTCAAACTAGGACACTAGCCTCACCATCCATGTTCTTCACGAAAGATTAATCTAAAATTTTAAGGGGCATTTCGTACTTGGTGGATTACTATAATCTCTGCCATTTCAAATCAGTTATTGGTTTTCAGTAGGTTATATTATATACTACGTTCTCTGTGATATACATGCTAGACCTGGGAGTTGGGCTTCTTACCTCTTAGTGTTTTCGACATTTCAGTGTATCAATGGCTTATATTAAAAAAGAAAAAGACAAATTTCTTGTTTACCTACATCTATATGTGTTTTAACATGCCGCAGGTTTCATTTTATAAAACCAACTTAACATTTGCCCCAATTTTCTGATTTTTCGACTCAGTGGGACCCACTTGCACCCATCACGTTTATGTTTAACCACAAATTAAACTTACTCTTGACTTATTTCTACAATAAAAGTAGACAAATGTACGTAGAGAAAAGGTCCGAGACTAGTATAAAACGGCAATAGTTTCTTCTGATTTATCACCATGAGCAGCCTCAAAATGAATATCGCATCCTTGTTAGTATTGTTCACGGGGGTGGTGGTTTTAACCACTCCCTCTTTCGCAGATTACTACAAACCGCCTAAGTATGAACCTAAGCCACCTTATTTGAAGCCTCCTAAGGTAGAGAAGCCATTCCCAGAACACAAGCCACCAAAGATAGAGAAGCCACCAATCTACAAGCCTTCAACGATAGAGAAGCCACCAACCTACAAGCCACCAAAGATAGAGAAGCCACCAATCTACAAGCCTCCAAAGATTGAGAAGCCACCAATCTACAAGCCACCAAAGATAGAGAAGCCACCGATCTACAAGCCTCCAAAGATAGAGAAGCCACCGATCTACAAGCCACCAAAGATGGAGAAGCCACCAATCTACAAGCCTCCTATTAAAGTGAAGCCACCACCTTATCACAAGCCATTGCCTCCTTATGGTCACTCTCCAGGACACCCTGCAGTTGAAAATGCTGAATATAACAAGCCAAACAACTGATTTAAACTTGATATGAATATGCAGGACTATTAGTGGCTGAAAATAAGTGTACTGTTGCTGGAGCTCAGCAGGCTTTGAGCTTGTACGTCTTTTATATATATAAATATATCGATCAGTTACTGCAAGTGAGGAATGTTCTCATCGAAATGTCTCTCCTTTTATTGTAATCGATGAGCATATCCTAATTCAGTTCTATAATGCAAACCAGTTAATTTTATTCGCAGGAATATTTATGTATATTTGGTGAGCGAGCGCAAGAGGGTTTTGAATGTTTGATTAATGTTTAAATGAACCCAGGTTCAAATATTAATCGCTTTGGTTATTTTTTACCAATCGCTTATTTTTTACTGCTATAAGTTGTTTTTTATTTTTTTATTCACACTAAAAAAAAAAAAATTATTTTATAATGTCAAAAAAAGAAAAATTGATTAAATTTTTATTTATTTTGGTTATCACAAACTGATTAGCTAATATTTATTTGCAGAATTAACAGTCCTGGTGCAGGCATAACCTTGCTTGAAGGAGGGGCTTCCTTGATTGCATGTTTTGGTGGCAGCATCTATTTTGGGTTGCATGATGTGCGTGTGTACAGGGGTAAAGTCCACGTACTTAGGCCTCTAATTAATATTGTGCAATGCTACACTTTTATTTATTTATTTATTATTATTTTATTGAAAGGAGAGTTTAAATGAAAAAAAACTCCAGAGAAAAGTTATACCGTACAAAAATGAGAGAAACTTATCTATTTGTCTTCTAAAACAATATCATATTATCCAATGTTACTTTTTAGTGATACAAAAATAAATAAATAACTAATCATAATTATTTTTTTATAAATATTATATTTAATTTGGTTTAGTTTAAGAGTCAGTTTAGTGTTCGATCAAAAATTAAATTTTTTTATATTCTAATTTAATTTAAAAAATAACATAATTAACCTTCACACACACACATATGTATAACGTTGTGCAATGCTCGACGTTGGTGCTAGGCTGATGTTGTTTTTACTCTTTCCCTTTGGGTTACAAATACTTGACTTATAAACAACTTAATTATGGTTTGTCAAACTAGGACACTAGCCTCACCATCGATCCTTGTTCTTCACTAAAGATTAATCTAAATTTTTAAGGGACATTTCATACTTGGTGGATTACTATAATCTCTGCCATTTCAAATCAATTATTGGCTTTCAGTAGGTTATATTATATATTATGCCTAATCCTCTTGAGAATAGGCGAGTTAAGTTTTGTTTGATAAAATTAAAAATTAAGTGTTGAATTTATTAAGTATTGAATTTTTAGTACTTGAATATAATAAGATTGTTTGATAAGTATTGTTGCTTGAACATATTAAGACTATATATATGACAATTTTAACCTTATAATTGTAATATGATATTTTTTAATATAAATAAAAATATATAAATAAATGTATTTATGTGTATAAATAAATAATTAAAACTTCAATAAAATTATTAATAAAAAAATTAAACATAATCTAAAATAGTGTTAATTGTTGTACCGTGTATAAAATAAATAAAATCTCAAATATTAATCAATTTATTTATAATTTGGTCTGGTAAATTAATCAATCAAACACCAAATGTCTCTCCTAACCAATATAAAATCATTGTTTATAGACAATATTGGTGAATACATATGCAGGAAACAATCCCCCTTCTGATCATCTCCACGAAGGAAACAAAAGGAGACGAAGAAACCAAAGATCCCTCGTCTGGCCATCTCTCCAATCAGAAGTAACATCAATCTTGGATAAAAGAAATGCAACTAGAGTACAGCTGCCGCCCAACGGTTAATAATCTCCTTCTCTCTCTCTTTTCACTTTCCTTTATTCATCCTTTCTAACAAAGAACGAAGTTGTGGTCTTTACATTCGAGAATTCCAATCTATAAAAATATCCTAAAATTTGATCCCAGTGGCAATCACATAGTAGATACATGTGAAAAAAAAAGGTAATATTCCATGCCCGTTTGTTTTATTAAGTGGAAAAAGAAAATATTCCAACTGGCCAGTATTTGTTTACTGCACATATGTATGCACACGAATATATTCATGAAAAGACTTCTCCTTGGTCTCCAGTTTCCATCTAGCACATTCATCTAGCTTCAAGAAAGCTCCATTACAGGGAGAGGTGGGGAACTAACCAGATCAACAAATTTTTAATTTAATAAAACCCGATCTAAAAAAAGTTTTTTTCTCTGTTCATCAACAAATTTTCGATTTAATAAAATCTGATCGAAAAAGTTTTTTTCTCTGGATCTTTTCATGGTAATTATGGCAGAAGTTCATCTGATTTAGAGGTTGCGAACAACAAGATGAAAGATAATGGTAAATGCAGATCACAAATATTTTATCATTTATTATTCAAAGCAGAATTCCAAGGTTCTTTGTGTATCAATCATAAACAGCAAGGTTCTTGTAAGCTTCACCTGCAATAGCCAAGTTCATCACATCCTCAGGGTCCAGAATCCCACCTTCCTCCAAGAACAAAGTTAACAGATTCTTTGAGAACCCACTAACCATTGCAACTCCAGTCTGGTTAGCCACAACCGGAGTAGATGACGAGTTCCTAAGATTCCAAAACACAATCTCAGGCAACTTGTTGTACCCTTTCTCCCTAAACTTCCTCTGTATAACTTCATAATCTGTTTCCCATGCAAGTTTACCCTTCTCCTTCACAACTGGCTCGTAACACTCCTCAATATTCTCCATATCAGAAATTGAATCAGTCACCATTTCCATCAAGTTCTCAAAATTCCCATTGGCATCATCAAACTCCATATCACTAAAAACAAAAACCCTCCTAATCAACTGATCCTCCCTCAAATTATTCTCCACAGCAACATCCAAAATCCTATCAAACACTTTCTGAAAATCAGTATTTCCACCCCATTCCATGTTCCTCACAAACTCTGTCTTCTCCAGCAATGTATCCCCCTTAACCAAATGGAGCTCCGGATTCTCACTAAATGTAATAACTTTCCCTTTCCAAGGCTCCTCACTCAACTCCGAAACCAACAGCCCAAGCGCCACACTGACCTCCATCGGAACCCCATCCATACTACCTGAAACATCACAAACCGCAATACAATTCGTTAGCTTCCCTTTCTTCACCATATCCTCAACCATCCTTTCCCACTGAAGCTCTGCCACTTTCCCTCCATCCTCATCCTTCAATGCCCCCACAATCTCATGCGGTAGCAAAGCACCCGCAGCAATCTTAGCCTTACCACTCTTCACATTCTCTAAATACTCTTCAAATCTCTCCTTATCATGCTGAGAAAATAGAGTCTTATAATTTTTCATCGCGACAGACGCTACTCTATTATACGGAAGCGAATTCCATTCCTTGGCACTCATAAACACCTCTGGCAACTCAAGAATCTTACGCAACGGAACCAAAACCTCCTTCCTCAACCTATCTCTAACTCGATAGGCATAATGTGATTCCTCGATTTCTCCATACTCTTTCTCACTTTCGCGCGGAAAAATCCTCCGCGCAATGGCCTCACAGATCAGCGTGGCCTTATCATAGGAGGAATCAATAGACGGACACCATTTTGCGGCCAGGCTGATTTTGTTACATTTCTTTGAATTCAATGCTTCAATATCGGATTTCAACAAATCAGCAAATAAATCAGCAGAAGAATCAAACAGTAAACGATAATTAGCATCCGTTTTGTACTTGTTTAAACCCTTTGCAGCTTTATTAATCTCTCTTTCTTTCCTCAAAGCTCTTGCTTTCTCTTTATCAATCACGCGACAGTTGGTGCCTTCCTGCAGGTTCTCTAAAATGGCGTCCTTCTCCTTCTCCTCCTCCAACGCCGTTTTTTTATGGCGTCGTCGTTTTGCTCTCATTTGATCTTTTCTCTCTTGTTTTGCAATCTTTCTCACCTCAGGTCCTTCAATAAGTCTGAAAAGAATCTCTGGGAAGTCTTTGAAATAACCGAAATCAGCCAAGGATTTGACGTTGAACGCTAGCGTTTTCGGGTGGTTTTTGTAGAGCCAAAATGCTGCCGCGTAGAACCCTTCTTTGTCAGACTTGCCGGTCCCTCTCACGCCTCGTAGGTTGCAAATCAGTTTGAGGGTCGTCAAGGGATCGTGGCCCCAGGATAACCGGAGTCGTTGGATTAGCTGATCGAACGGTGTGTCCGGCACGATATGGAAGAAGAAATCAAGGCAAGGGTTACCGGTTGAGAGAAATGTAGCAGAGAAGTTTTCAGTGAAGCCCATCGGAGGTTTACCAGTCAAGTCCAGGCTTGTGGTTTGGGTTATTAGTGATTCAACGGTTGATTCAGAAGGTGGTGGGGAGATTTCTGGTTGATCAATCGGGTCCTTAATGACTACAGCCGGTGGGCCTAGGAGATTTGCAGAAGAAGCCATTTTTTTTGTGATCGGTGGTGTCGTCGAGGAGTGCTGAGAGAGAGTGAGGGAGAAATTTTATGCTACCCGATTAATAATATTTATTCTATAAAACAATAGATATAAAAAAAGAAATTTAAAACAATAAATAAGAATGTTGTCATAAAATAATAAATTTTTATCACTATTTCGTATTTTTAGTATTCATGTGATTCAATTAATTATTTAGTAAAAAATTTTTATATCACCTGATTAATTATATTTATTCTATAAAACAATAAATATAAAAAAAATTAAAATAATAAACAAGAATGTGACTCTTTATGCTTTTTTTTACCTATTTTTTCACTTAAAATGAATACATGGCATAATATGGAAAGAAAAAAATTGAAATTGGATGAAAAAAATTTATAAGAGTAAAAGAATAACTATTTTATATATACTGTAATTACTTTAGAGATCTTTTATTATTTTATATATATTGTATTCACACTGTAAATCTATTTTTTTAAAATCACATTCAAATTCATTGAAAGTAATATAAAAAATTCATATTTATTAAAATTAATTAATTTATATTTATATTTATAAAATAATTGATATTAATTATAAAATTTTTCTAATTAGAATCAATGGTTGGGTTTAAGATCTGGACATTTTCCAGATGGCTGATACCTGTAGTTTTGGTACTGACGTGGCTTGTGTTTAGTCGTTTGATTGGGGGCATGCGAGAAAGCAAAATTTGTGTGATGTGATTGTTGGCACCTGGCAGCTTCTGGATTTGATAACCTCGTGGCTTGCATGCCATTAAAATTGCCAGATATGGAATCTGCTTTGCTTAACGACTAAGATTTTGCAATTTTCGAATTTCATGTGTCCATCAAGACTCCTATTTTTCTTAGTTAAGGAAAATTTTCGAATTTCATGTGTATTATAAAATTTCTCCAAAACTGAGTGCTGAAATTTATTATGATAGCGTAGCTGTAGCCAGCGGTAGTGGTTACCATTTAATATTAAAAAAAATCATTATATTTCCCCATTAATAATTGTTTCCAAATAAGTTCTCAGAAATTAAGGTAGCATTTAATTAGTAACGTTTTGGATCTTTATATGGAAAATAAAATAGTTTTAATCTTATTTTTCAAAATAGATTAATTTATGCCTGGTAAGATTTCGATTAGACATTTCATTTTTATCATTTAAGGCATAAAATATGAATAATTGAGAATATCTCTATTTAATAAGATAAGAGAGAGGACGAAATTGAAAACAGTTACGGTATAGTAAATCTGCATATGGAAGGAACTGGGAAAGGCTAATGAGTAATGATGTATTAAATCTTTAAAACAAAATCATCGTGGCAATGAACTCCTGGACCATGCAACAATTTTTACCACCACCACTTGATTTATATGTAAGGTTAAATTGCTAAGAAGCAAGTATTGGATCTCTCTCGGATTTTTGAAAGATTAACATTCGAAAAAGAAAAAAAATTAATGAGAATAATATGTTTGAGGCATGTCAATGCAAAACTAGGCGCACTTTAGGTGTTTGTACAAATTATTCAATGAGTAGAAAGTCACTGCCGTAACAAAGTTGCTTTTGAAAATTAGATAAATCAAGCTTCGCAAGAAGAAGGCTGGAGATTTCAGCATTTCAATTCGAGCATTTTCATCCTCATTCCGTAGAAGAGGGGTCCTTTTTTGTATTCGTTTCTTTTCGTTCGTTCGTTCGTTTGTTTGTTTGTTTTTTTAAAGATAAAACATCATATTAAATTATTTGACCATGTGTGGAGGGGTTTTTGAATATCAATCTTACAACTAGTCAACATACATGTTAAAATACAGATAATTAGTATTGTGAATTGTATAAGTAACGGTCAAACAATCAAATAGAAAGAATGTAAATACTGAGAGGCATGAGAGAAGAAGCAAACAGTGTTAATAAAACGCGAGTAATGTGATTGACAAATGGATAGTCAAAGATCAAACCTCCTCATAATAATATGAGGTTAGTATTCATAGTGAAATAAGATGACCTTTTGGCCACAAAAATCATGTCACATCATTCAAGTTTTGATAGTTAGATTTGAATGGAAAAATTTAGGTTATTTAAGCTAAACTGCTTCAATTTGCTATAAAAGGATAAAGGAAGTAACAATTAGACCTTTCTTTAACAGACCATGCTCTGAATCCATTAAATCAATATTCTTGATTTATCCTAAAGACAAAGCATGAACATTGGTCATGCTAGAGTATCCGTGTCCATTATTGCGATTCAAGACCTTATGTTGAGTTAAGCCTATTCTTAGTTCCATCCATTTATCATGCAAGTTGGACTTATGTCAAAATAATAATAATAATAATAACATAAATTAATATAAAATAAAAATTAGTTAAATTAATTAATTTTATAAAAGGTCGAGCATATACAAACTATATTCTCATTATTCATCTTGAATGCTTTGTTTGCGATCTCATCCTCACCTAAATTATTGCAAAGTCAAATTGTCGGTGGTGTTTATTTTCACATCATCTCTATGGATAAGTATAGATTTATCATACAGTCCTATCCATAAATGAATATAAAGTTTTGTTCATGTTTTCTGTATAAGCGATGTCATTCTTCTCTTAAACACGTGTAAAAGCTGAATAAACTAAAGATCATAGAGCTGCAAAAATTAATTTCGCTTGAATGTTCCCCTAACTTTTTTTTCAAATAGATATTTAATGAAATAGATTTTTTTTTAGAATAATGATAAGGACAGTTGATATAGAGAAATTTCATCTAAATTAATTAATTTTATAAAAAATCGAACATATATATTTAACTCACTACATGGATAATTTTATCAGCAATGGTGTTTCTGCAACCATGTACAACAAAATAAAGAAAATAATAATAAATAAATAAATATAATTGGAAAAATAACCTAACAGTGATTGTAAATGACTTGTCGCATTTTTTATTTTTTTATTTGCACTGAAAAAAACAAATACAACATGCGATATTTTAAGTTGTGAAGACTAATGTATGTGTAGCTCTGTAGGTTGGTGTGCTACACAGAACTCGCAATTTTTTTTTATCAGCTCTCAATCAAAATTTACTCTTTTTTAAATAAAATAATAATAATAATAATAATATAGTCTTCTTGACTTTTCAAATATAAAAAGAACTCTTTAAGGGTATTACGAAACTTTTTGCTTCTCTAATTGCCCATATATTTATAACAAAATTCCTAGTTGTCGAAAAAAAAAAAAAAACCTTTTGCTTCATAATTTTTTTTTAGAGAAAAAAATTAACAACTTAAATCTCTAATTCAAGATTCCTTAAAACATGACCATGGCCTTAACTTGCTTGACTCAGGAACAAATAAGAGATAAATTTCATATAATAACTTTATTTCTTTCTGCTTTTTTTTCCTCTTTAAGTGAAGTAATGTTGGTTGTGCAAATGGTCAACAAACTATTAGGTGCAAAAGTAGCTCTGCCACTGGCTTGCGCACGCAAGACTACTAGCCTCTGTGCTCCAGCACCCAGCTTACGGTGGCCCACTATTTTTTTTTTTTTAATTTTGAGTTTTTTATGTAATTTTTTATGTATTAATGACTCGTAATTTTTCAAATTATCAATGTTTTGTTACACTTGAAATCAATTTTTTTAAGATAAAAAACAAGTTTTGTTATAAATAGTGGTAGCAAATCTCTTTTCATGGGAGATAGTGTTTGACAGTCCTTTTTGACAGACATTACTTGCCAGCTCTTTTTGTGATAGACAGTGGTTGCCAGCTTTTTTCATAGCAAAATTTTGATGAGTTCTCCTTTATTTCTATATAGAAAACTATGTGAAAGAAACCTCACAGCCCCCAGCTCAGTCAGATAGAAGTAAGTCTAAATTTGTGCCAGTTCAAACAAGTTTGAGCAAAGCAAAACTAAATATGGTGGTTAGGCTCAACACTTTAGCTAGCCCATCGGTAGTAAAACGAGAAATTACGCAATTAGCTTCTTATAGTCCCATTTTAGAGGTACCATTTAATCTTCGTATAATGATTAATAATGTCACTACTTTATTGAAGGTGAGTTGCCAACGTCTGCATGAAAAGGAATGAGATATTATGCAAGTAAGGTGTTGTGGTGGATATCTTCTATTCGACTACTTTCATGCATTCGTGTTATGATTGTTATGTGGGTGTAATATCATGGGCATGTTTTGTATTGTGCAATTGTAACACTTATGGAAGCTTCAAAAGTTCATTAGCTGTATATTGTAGTGTTTTTGTTGAAAAAGTGCTTCTGTATTGTTGATTTTTTGTTTAACAAATGCTTTTGCATTCTTGATTTTTTATGCATTGCCTTTCTTTTTAAATTGGGCTTTTGGTACTCAGTTGTCACCTAAAATTACTAGGCAGTGTTGTTTTAAAATGGCAATCTCACAATTTGCTATATATATATATATAAAAGTGGATACAGCACTGCCAATCACATTAGATAATGACTTATTTTCTTTTATCTTTATACACTAAAGCTATATGAATTAGCAGCTTTGTTTAGTTAGTTATTTATGCCTATTGATATAGTAGTAACAAATTGTGAAATATTACAGTTCTAACATATCTCATTCTTTGCAGACGGTTTATCACAATGCATACCATAATGATCCTTATTCTAAGGAGTTAGGTATCAAAATTAGTGAGAAGCTTACTTCAGTTGAAGCTCGCTTTCTACCTCCCTATGGGTAAATAGTCTTTATTTTCTATTTGTCTATTATCTATTTAAACTTCAGATATCCTGGTTGTAAGTCTCTATGGGCGGTTGTTGTTACCTTGGTAGCGTAAGCATCATGACACAAGCAGAGAGAAGGATTTTCTTCCTCAAGTTGGGCAGTGGAACATGATGAATAACGTATTACTACCCTATACATTAATAATGAGATGAGATGCATTTGACATTAAAAAAATACATGTTATTACATTTAAATTTCTAACTACAAGGATCTAGGCTTAAAGCTTTCGAATTGGTATATGAGAAAATACCTGCTACTCTTACAACAGACTCTACTATAGCTGCATTAATGAAAGAAGTTAAAGTGAATGTTGTCATTATTGGAGCAGATTGTGTGGCTGAGTTAGCAAAAAAATAATTCATCTACTTCTGTATTCTAATTCTGTAAGTGTGTTTTATTGATTTCTGTAGTGTAATTCTAGGTGACACAGCTAACAAGATTGGAACCTATAACCTTGTCGTGTGCTTAATGCATCATAGCATTCCATTATATGTTGCTGCGCCACTTACCTCCATTGATTCATCCTTTTCTTTAGTAAAAGAAATCATTATAGAGGAAAGATCCCCTAAGGAATTGTTGAACTCACGTGGAGGACTTGGGGAACAAGTTGCTGCATCTAGAATTTTCGTATGGAATCCAACTTTTGATGTGACCCCTGCAAGCTTGATAAGCGGTATCATAACAGAAAAGGTATGAAACATGTTGTAAGTTTAATTGGAAATGATCACAGCATTTGATGAATTTTGTTCTGATGATTTACATCTCTAAGCAGGGTGTCATCACGAAGATGGGCACTGATGATTTTAACACAGAAGATTTCATATAGAGGGCTTCAGCCAATGTATTGCATAGAAAGCTAACGTAGTGTTCAAGGTTTTAGTGATTGATTTGAATAGGTATCTACCTGCCTATAAAAGAGTAATGATGAAAGACCATCTAATTGTAATAATGGTTGTAATTTGAGTGCATATTCTATAGGGTTTTCTTGGTGTTACCTCGGTTTTCAATGGTTATTATTATGAGGCAATAAAGTTTATTGTTTTGGTCGTACCTCAAATTCATGTTCTTGACTCTTGTTTAGGATTTGTAATTGGAAAAAAAATGATTGGAATAATATTACAAATTATTGTATTAAATATTTTATAAATTATTACATTACTATGATAAAATATTACATTATAAATAGAAAAGGGTTAGTTTATATATAGAAAAACCATTGTATAATACAACAAAAACCTACTACCAATGATTATAAACTACTGTATAATATATTAGATAAACTATTACATTAGTTGACAAAAACTATTGCACAAAACATCTCAATAATCATTGCATATATTATAAGAACCATTGCATATGTTTTGACTTAAACCGATGCTATATCATTCTCGAAAATCGTTGCTTGAAGTAATAAGATAACCACTACAATTGAAGGATATTATGAAATGAAAAGTTTTGCATAGCTATTATACATGGAAACAGACTTCATTAATCTATTACGAGGCCGATTGAATGTAAGCAATTGGTAAACTGTTGCATCGAGTGAAATGCGACTGTTTTATGCTTTATAACATTAGTTTTCAGCCGTTGCATAAAGCTTTATATGTGGTAGTATATTAATAAACCAAATGCACCCTTTTCGAAGAAAGGTATTAGATCCGGTCTAATCCTAAAAGTTTTTTTTCTAAAAATATCAATTTTTGCCAAGTCATTTCTCGGTCATTTTCCAAGTTTATTACCTAAGTTAAATTTTTTTTTTAATTTTTTTTTGATGTCATATTAAATCAATCGTCGAATCTCGAAGTTGAAAGTCTTCTTAATTCAACATCGGATCCGAGTTTAAGTCTCGACATAATTGATATATAAGAGAATGACCTAATTACTAAATGTTATTGATTTTGAATTAACATCATTCCCTATTAGATAGAAGACTTGTTAATTTTCACCTAATATTTCTCTCTATTTTTTTTTTTTTGTTCTTTTCTTTTTATGTCTTTTTTTATCATTTTTCTTTTCATTTTCATTTTTTTTTAAGGTTGGTAGAGAATCGTCATCAATCCCTAAAAATTAGAAAACTTGATGATTCATCTACCTATTAATTACCTTATTAAACTAAAAGTTATTTAAGTAATATTCAATAGTAAATAATTCTAAAATTAAATTATCAAAGCCTACACACACACACACACACATATAGGAGTCTAAAATCCACAACCACAATTTCAAATTTAATTAATATTAAATATCAAGCTAGACTAAAATTTAAATGATACGGGAGCATAAGTGTTATAGCCTCAAATTCTACAATTTCTTTATCTTATGAGTCTTATTTATGTGGTTTCAATAAACTTTGCTAAAGTCTAGTAGCTTTCATAAGGCATTGTGTTTTCTTTTAAATTTTCATCTTGAAAAATATGTCATAGTCTTATTTGTTAGGGAAGTGCATTAGATGTATTTTGTATTATTTATATGTGTGAAACTATAATGAAGAGGATAACTTTCCTTTCAATACAAACATTTATCTAGCAAGAATCCTTGCTTGGAGTTGAGTGATTCCTCCTAAACCAATCAAGTGTGTGGCTTGGTTGCATCGAGTGGCTTCCACGATTAGTAGCATCAAGTGGCATCCATTACCCCATTCGAGAGGCATCTCGAGACTACCTTACCTACATATTAATCTCCCTTTTCCCCTTTCATTTTCCATCCTTTGCTAACCCCTAGACGCGACTCGAATCATTAAAAACCAAGAAAATGAATAAAGTGGAATTAAACCAAATAAATCGAAATAAAAAAGAAAAAGGAGTTTAAAAATTTAAAATTTGGACTAGAAGTGAAAACATGAAGCATGCTTAAAAAATTCAGATTTAATTAACCTAGGGTAATGGCCAAAATAAAGTTATTGGGCCTTTTAGGTGCATTGGGCTAAGCCTCGTTAGGCTTGTTTGCTCCTTCCCTCTCCGTATTAGTTTGGGTTAGGCTCTTTTTCCTTTATTTTTTTTTCTTTTTAAGTTGTGACAAACTAAGTCCAATCGTTTCTTTTCCCATATGGGTTGGGCTAGACCCGAGCTTAATCCCTTTAGTTTTGGTGTTGGGTTAAATCCACCCAACACTTCTCCTTCTTCTTATCTCAACCCCCTTCATTCTCTTTCTTTTTCTTTACCTCGAGTCCATAATCATTTTTTTCCCCTTCTTCTTCCCATCAAGCATAACCAATCGGCTATCACCTTAAAAACCACTACACCCTATACTCCACACTAGAGCTCATGCATATAATGACTCAACAACCCAATAAGGCATCTTTTCACAATTTCGAAGTAATCATACAATGAAATTGATGAAGTTCGGTTATACGTGGGTTTGTGAAATTTGACAAAGATGAAGGGCTATATATGGGTTGACAAAGTGATTATCGGGTTTGAGTTGTGGAGGATCCGTGGTAGTGGTTTTGTTGAGGGTGGTTTATTGTGAAAATAGTGATAATGGTAGATCACGTTAAGGTTAAAGGAAATGATGGCTATTAAGGTTTTAATGAAGAGAGGAGATCGACAATATGTGAAGGAAAAACATCTTATAGAGGAGTAGAATAAATAATAAAATTTTGTTTTTATCCATCTAAAATCTAAAGATCATGGCTGAATTAACTAATTATATTAAGAAATCGTTTAGATCTTTAACTCTCAAAATACCAAAATTATAGATTTAATCATAGTTAACTTAACTAATAACAATACAATCAAAGATTCAATGGGAGTTATACTACCAATTGAAGGAAAAACATCTTATAGAGGATCAAAATAAACAACACAATTTTGTTTTTCTCTATCTAAACTCTCAAGATCATTATTAAATCCACTAATTATATTAAGAAATCATTTAGATTATTATCTTTTGACGTGCAATATCAAGGTAGCGAATTGAACCATTCGAGTGTTCAATCTCTAGTAAAAATCCACACGACTTACACACCAATACAAAGAAGTGACAAAAGAATAAGAGTGTTAGCTTTGATTTCTTTTTGCTATGAAGATTGCACACCAAATTCTTTTTGTAAGGAAAATTGCATAAATTTTTTTTTATATATAGGAAATTGCACACCTTTCTCATTCCGTAGGGAATTGTGACCAACTATTTCTTTTTATTAATTGAGTTATATGGCTTGATGCATTTTTTTCTATTTATAAACACCTTATTAGGTTTAATAAATTTTTTTCAAAAGTTTTCAAAAAGCCCCTCTACTTAAAATACCCCTTACAAAGTTTTACTTAAACCTATTGGCCCAAACACCCTTTTCCTAATGACCAAACAATTTGATGGACCATCCAAATAAATTGGGTCGAGTATTTTAAAGAGGCTCAATTTAGAAAAGAATTTCTAAATTACTCCTATTAGATTAAGAAACCCAATTTAGGAAACTATTTTATAATATTTTAGGAAACTCAATTTAGTAAATTATTTCCTAAATTATAGAAAATAAAATTTAGAAAATTATTTCTTAAATTTTTTTCAATGCTTAAAGAATTAAAATCAATTATTTCAATTTTCATTTTTTATCATAATTCTTCGCTTCTTTTTATCCGAGTCAATGACAAGTCTCTCGCATATAACGTAATAGGCTTCTAGATATGTTGGTAATATATTAAAAAGTAAAATACGGTTATTATATCTCTCGATTCATTAATCAAGATTGGCCTCTAGTGAGGCATCGTGACCGCCCAATTATCAAGAAGAATTACTTAATCCTCAACAATCTTTCATAAGTATAGTTTTCATATAATTCAATCCTCGTGTCAATTATTATAGTGTGATCTCGAACTTGATTTGTTATCTATTCGATTATAATTACATAAGTTTTCTTTGATCTCCGAATATCTTAGCTTTCAAGTAAATCAATCATGTTCTATTGATATACTTCCACTATGGCCATAAATTCTTAAGCGAGAAATTTATCGAAGTGCAATGTGATAACTTCTTTAGTATATAAGGAATGACATGTCATATCTCGGTTATCTACCTATCTCTCATAGATTCCCGATGTACCCAATGAATCTTTCACATGTAGTTTTTTATTGAGCTTATCGTAACGAATGTCAAAGTATATCAATCCTCTAATAAGATAACCGTGATAACTTTAAGTCAAATGACTACTTGTATCCATCTTGTATGAGATTTTCATAGACTATACCAAATGGGTTCTTATGGCGAGTCATGTCCAATGATATGCTTTTGAATATTATTCACCTGTGTGGTTGCTCGAGCATCATTATATTAATAGGTATGAGATCTCTTATCGCTATCTTATAACAAGAGTACAGAGCATACACAAGTCTTATCACATATTATTAATATCCAATTTTGACAATGTTATGACTTGGGACATTAATGATTTCATTTAAGTGCACTCGGTGTTTTTCTCACATCTATTGATCAATCATCAAGGCAATAAATATCAAATAGACTTCTATCTAATTCAATCAAGTTATGAATAACATGAATTAATAGAAAGATTTTTCTATTAATAAATATGCAATAATACTATATTCAAATCTTAAGCATCTACACTAACAATATGGGTGGAGTTTTGGTCAGGTAGAAGTTGGTGTGACGATGGTCAGTAAAGGAGAGAACAACAGCTTGGGTTTTACAATTTAAAAGAGGAATTTTGGCTAGGTGGAGGATGGTATGGTGGGCTACAAGGGAGATAACTTTGGTTGGGTTTTACAATTTAAGGGATTAGGGATTTTTTTTAATTAAGGGAGGGAATGAATGGCATCTAGTTTATAAATTATATAGTTAATTTGTCAAATAGCCACGTAGATCAAACGTGAA